CTGCCTATGTACCCTTTCTGAGGGATCAAGCTACACGTAGTTCTTTCTTCTGTTCCTGATTTGTAACTAAACTGTTTACTGTAAACCTGGTTCTAGGGTTGGCATTCTTGGAGTATCCGGGACTCCGTTTTACAATCCGTCAAATACTATACGATCCTGGGCATGTCTAGATTAACATATCTGAAAATGATTATGATTCAACGGTGCAAAACTATTGAACCCGGAAATCACACAAGATGCGAGATCCGTTCAGGGTTCAAACGTTAACCAAATTGAGATCCGCAAAATCCTATGTACTCGTGACGACACAAGGATCATTCTAAAACTGAATGTGGTCTCCACCAATCTGCCCACGCGCGTGGGTGGCTTGATCAATTTTTGGCGACCGGAAAAACTCCGAACCACAGGCTCAAACTCCTAAATTAGGTAAAACACCCCATTTGGAACAACTTTTGTTCTTGGATATACCCCAAAAAGTGGCCAAGTGGCAGGAACTGGGATATCAAAACCGGCTGAAACCTAACTCGTAAGTCGAGCTATCTACGCTTGAAATTTCTAAAATCCTACCCAACCAGCAGGTAGAGCATGAAAAATAGCTAGGAAACCATACCTCACTCGTCCGATTTGGTGGCCGGACGACAGAGAACGAAAGGTTGGAAGTTCTGTCAAAAACTGCCCCTCACCGCCTGTTTCGGGGCGGATTCCGGTGACTATAAGGGCGGATCGAGGTGTTGAAGGGCTGGGGCTGGAAGAGGGAAGTTTGGTGGTTCGTTTGGCACTGGTCTTGCCTGAATCGGGGGTCGGAGCTGAGAGAAAACAGCTCCCAAAGTCAGCTGCTCCAGCCTCTCTCGAATCCAGAAATTTCTGGGTTTATAAAATCTGAACTTCGAAATATTTATGGTTATGCCACTGAACTTCTTTTAATCGTAACTCATTCGTTTCAACTCCGATTTAAGTCCACTATTTATCTACGGACTCATCTCGCTGCGCTCTACGCAACGGTATAACTGAAATCCTCAAATTCCTTCCCGGTTAAAAAGTCAACTTTTATACCATTAAAATACTCTAGGGGTATAGTGGTATTTTATTGGAATAAATTAATAATGAAATATTAATTAAGGACCGGGTTGTTACATCCATAGCAAGCAGAGAATTATGCCAGAATATTCCTCAAATGGTACTAATATTGGTGATACTTGTTGGCAACTTTTCTTGGGAACCATAGCAACGTCTATTTTTGTATCTAACTTATAGACAGTGTTCTAATTTATGTTCCTAACTAGGTAGTCTTTTAATTTATGTTCCTAATTTATAGGTAACACGATTTATAACTAAATGTTTTCCATTGCTAATAATAACACTATTTACCTATATGTTAGGTACATAATTTCATGTGGGTGCTTGCCTGAATAATTGATATAATATATGGGTCTTTATTTTTCATTGATTAAATTATATTTTATCCATATATAGGTAAATATTATGAAGGAAAGAATTCAAATTTTAAATTCTTTTGAAATTCAATTACAAGGAAATAATGCATTAAATTTAGATTTTCAATATGTTTTCTTTATTTACCTCAAGGGTAAAAAGAACACAGCAAAAAAAGTAATAAATGTCAAAGGACTTACATCTAAAACCAAAAACATGTGAACTAAATTCAATGATAGCTAATCATTTTGGACTTAGATCTAAGAAGCCTAAAAAAAACAGACTAAGAATTACACATAGTATAGTACAGTTGACTTTCATCCAGGGTGAAGTTAGCAAAGTTCACTTTCATTGCACAAGCCTCATACCCAAAACTTTCCCGTTTGATTGGGAGTTTTATCGTCTCGCCATTAGTCTGGGTTAATATTCGGGTCCACCTTTTGTAATTTCTTGCAACTGCAACAATCCATTGCTTCCTTCCTAATAAGAAAGGCAACGGCTCTGCAATTGCTTTCTAGTGCTGAACCATTCAACTCGTTTTCCTAGAAATCTTCAAATAGAAGCTTCTTTCAATGATTTGGAAAAGTCACGTCATGTGGCCCCGATAATATTGCACACGACTCGTTAATACAACACGAATTTGCATAAAATTATCAATATTTGGGTTGAGCTTAATAGGTCAAGTTGAAAACGGGTGAATCCATTAACCACCCGTTAAACTAACGAATTGTGTTGGGTCAATTCGCGAATATTCGCATTCACCCGTTAAAGAGGGTAATTCTATAATTTTGTAAAATAATAATTTAAATCCCCTACACTAACAGACAAAGACGCATGCCTTTTTTTTATTTTTTATATATTCTTTGTTCCTTTCCTTATCTCCATCTCTCCCTCTCTCTCTTTTTTATATTATTTTTCTTTCCTTCCTCTTCCTCTCTCCGTCAACTTTCTCATCTCCCCATCTTTTTTCTTTGTTTTTTTTTCTCTTCTTTACATCTCTCAATCTCTCACTTTTTTCTCTTCTTCTTCTATCCCTCTCTGTCTTTTTTATTTACAAATAATCTAATCAACCAACTATTTTGTTTCTCTTGTTTTATCTTTATGCAAGACTAATCCTGAACTTGTAGACTTCTGGACTGTGTTTATGAAATATGGAAATTGGGCCAAAAAGGGCAGAGAGATGGGGGTTGCTGGCTGGTTGGGTGATAGTTTTTTTTTCCTCCTGGTTTATTCTTAACGGGTCATGTTGGGTCATTCACGAATTGTAATGTGTTGTGTTTGGGTCTGGTATTTCTCACCCGTTAGCTTAACGGGTCGTGTCGTGTCAACCCGTTAAGTTAACGGATTAACACGAACACAACCCCAAAACTCATTAAACCCACCCGTTTGCCAGGTATTTAAAGGCCCGGGGGTGCCGGTATCTATTCCACAAGCCATCAAGAGTTGATTTATTCACTCATTTCATTTGAGTTGTTCCAGTCCTTGGTAATTTCATTTTTACGTGTTTATCTCTGCTAAATATTATATATTAGCTAGCTAGCCTCATTTCTAAGGTGCATAGGCTTCAATCCTTTTGAGTACTCTTGTAGGGTTTGTAGGTTTTTTATATGGCTTCATCCTCTTCTTCTTCTTCTTCTCCTCTTCCTCCTTTTGCTAATCCCCATGTTGAGAAATTTATTGCAAGTGCACAATTCACACAAGTAATACAGTGATGAGTAAAGTGTCGTTCCCAAGAAGAGTGATTTAATTTACTAAGTACCGATTGTGATTAACCCAAGACTTTATTTGAACAATTGATGGTGAGATTCGATTGATTAATTAACTAAAACAATGAATAAAAACAAGCGTAGAAAAATAAAGTAGTGAGATTAAAGTTATGAGAGCACTAGAGCTTCCGATTTCACCATAGCCAATTCTACCTAATTCCCTTGGCATGTTAATTCTAATTGTTCTCCATGTTGACAGTTGATTTTTCCTACTTCATTCGATACTTCATCTCTGGTTATACCAAAAGTATTCTTATTACCAACCAATTCTATCCCTAGTAATGGAATTAAGATAATAAGAACCCATTAAATTCCTTGTAAAACCTGCAAAACAACTACATAAGTCATGACAATCATCCCTGTCTAATCATGTAACTTAGGGGTGGGCACTTAAAACTGGCGAATCGGAAATCCGAGCCAAACCGCACCGAACCAAACCGGAAAAAAACTAAGTTGACCAAAAAGTCAACAACGGTAAAAAACCGAACCGGACTGGTTTGGACCGGTTCCGAATTTTGTTCCATGTCTTGAAAAACCGGACCGAGCCAAACCGAACTGGTCAAATTAAAAAATATATATATAATTTCAGTATATATTTATATTTAATGCTATATTTTTAATTTCACTAAAAAAAACTAATATTTATCCAAGTTCAATTTCAAAACATCTCTCTTTTCTAACTTTAATGTTTATTTTTATATGAAATTGAATAATTTGTTAATTTTCAAGTAAAAATAATAATATTTCAGTTGAGAATTGTATTAAAAAAATAATTTTTATAATCCGGTTCAAACCGAACCGGAATCGGAACCAAACCAAACCAAACCGGATGAATAGTATTAGATCGGTTCTAATTTGAGGCAAAAACCGGTCCAAACCGAACCGTGCCCACCCCTAATGTAACTCATGGCATTTATTACAAGAAGCAACCCCAAATTGGATATCCCTATCGTCAATTTAGCATCAAAACAATTAAACATTCAAAGCATTAAGCATGGTAATAGATACTCAACATGGAAAAATACTTGGAATTAACATTGACTAAAGTAATTGAGTATTCATGGCTAGGCTATGTCGTAGCCCTAGCAAAAAGAAATTAGTTCATGACAACTTTAATAAAAACCAAGATAAATAGTATCATAGGAAAGGAAAAACCAATTGAAGATTTGATCTCTGCACGACAGCAACTCCAGCTCTAGGTCGTCTTCTTTGTCTCTCTAAAACTCTCTCTCTCATTTGAGTGTTTCGGCTATGAGTATGAATGTGTAGGAATTTGATGGTAGATGATGGAGGATGGATGATGGGTAATGGAGGATTTGAATAAAGACCTAAATTCCCTATTTATAAAACTCCTAGAAATCCTACCTAAGGTATAATTACAATTGTTATAAAAATAGGATTCCTTCTAATATAAGGTCTTCTTTATTTCTCTTTGTTTGACTTGATAAGACTTGAACCATCTTGAACTAGGAAATTTGATAACATTCCTTGCAACAAAAGGAATTACTTGGCTTCTTTTTAATTAATCTCCAATCTTCATCTTTTTGCCCTTTTTAGCACACTTTCTTCTATTTCACAATTCCTTTACAAATCTCACAAAGCCAATTAAAAACAACTAATTTAATCCAAGGAAATAACAAATAAATAAGTAAAGGAGACATAAAAAAAAATATATAAAATATAGACTTATCATCCCCTCCACAAAAGTACGATGTGTTATAAGTTTCAGAGGTGCAGATACCGGGGACTTTTACTAGCCATTTCAAAGCTGCTTTAGGTCGCAAGAAAATTGAGACCTACAAGGATGACAAACTTGGGATGGGGGACAAAATTGGACATGCCCTCTTGCAAGAGATCGAGAAATCAAAGGTTTCGTTAATCATTTTCTCAAAAAACAATGCTTTTTCCATGTGGTGTTTGGATGAACTTGCGCACACATATTGGAATGCAAAAAAAGATACGGACAAATTGTCATACCCATTTTTTACGGCATAGATCCATCACAGGTACGGAAACAACAGGAGAGTTATGCAGATGCATTTGCTCAATTTGAAGAACTTTTCGAGGACAACATGGACAAAGTGCTCATGTGGCGAAATGCCTTGAAGGAAGCAGCCAATATGTCTGGCTTTGATAATTCAAAAAGAACAGGGTAAGTCTTTGTGACCATTTCATTCATATTTATATACAAGAATCGTTAAGGGGTAGTTTACTAAATATTATTATTAATGAATATTTTTTGATTTAATTCATATCTGCTACTAAATATTATTCTTTGTTCTTCATGATCATATTTTTTTCAGGACGGAGGCTGATTTCATTGAGAAAGTTGCCGAAGATGTTTTGACCAAACTGAATCGCACATCTTCTTCAAGTGATTCCGTGGAATTGGATGCATTTCGATTAAGGCAAATTGAGGAAATTGAATCGTTATTATGCATTGATTCACCGGGTGTGTGCACTGTAGGAATTTGGGGCAAGAATTCGCTGAGAAGCCTTGATGATGAATTATTTCACCGGCTGTCTTGTCAATTTGAAGCTACTTGTTTTCTTGCAAATGTTAAGGAGTAAAAAAAAAAAGCAAGAAAATCTCTCCCGACGATCGGCACAAGTCTATGCCTGCAATATTTGCCGGATTAGACCTCTCTTGATGCAACTCACCTTTGGCAACGAAGTTGTCAGGAGAGGTCTAATCCGGCAAACTTTCGTTGCGGGAGTTTTTTTATTTTTTATTTTTTATTTATTTTTAAATTTTAAAAAATACCAGTTTATTATCTTTAATTTAATAAAATATATAAATACTAATTATTCACTAAGTAAATAATAATTAAAACATAACTACTAAATAAAGTAATTAGAAAAGAGAAATCAAGATTATGATATTGAAAGAGTATAGCCGGACGGCTATACTGTTAAAATAATCTATTTACAGAGTGACGTCGTACGGCTATACTGCTAACATATTATAGAGTAAAGCCGTGCGGCAAGACTTTTTAAATATTCGTAAGGCCGCACGGCTATACTGTTAAAATATTCTATTTGTTTAGGACAGCCAACCGGCTATACGCTTTAAATGGAATAGTATAGGCGGTGCGGCTATACTCTTAAACTATTCTTTTTAACTTTTCTTTTTTTAAAAGTTGCCTTTTTAGTAATTAAATAATATCTTTGCCTTATTTAAATACTTTCATTTGTAATTGTGTTTTAATTATTATTTCTTTAGTGAATAATTAGTATTAAATATTTTAATAAAAATTCTGGAAATTTAGTTTTGGTACCCAAGTATTTTAGTATTCGAAAAATGGAATTTAGCCTCAAAACTTAGATCTAAGTCACAACGTGATTCGATAATATCAACTACTTGTTGGCGCTTGATTGAAATACATAAACTTGAGACCCACATTGGAAAAGAAGAGAATGTATCAACTCTTTATAAGTAGGAGTTTTTCGACACGTGCTATATGCAAGGTGGGCCTAGGGGAGTGGAATTTGGATTTACCCAAACTAATTTTGTAGAAAAATAAAATAAAAAGCATAGTCCACAAAATAATTTAAAATGATTAATTACTATTTATTAAGTAATTTATGAAATAAATAAAATATTTAAATATTTAATTAAATAATAATTAAAAAAGACTAAGATATTACTTAATTCCATATATTAAATTAAAGATGTTGGCCAAAAAATAAAAGTAAAAAAATTAATTTTATATGTTTAAATTTTATAAATAAATAAAAAAGCAAGAAAATCTCTCCCAATGAAATGTTTTCGGCACAGGTCTATGCTAGCAATATTTGCCGGATTAGACATTTCCCCACGAAACTCACCTTTGCCAACGAACGGTCGTCGAGAGAAGTCTAATCCGGCAAAAGTTTGTCGGGATAGATCCCAAAAAATGTCCTTAGTTAATGCAAACATTAAGAATCAAAATTATTAATTAAATGAGGATAATACGGTAAATTCACACTTTTTCATATTAAAAAAATTAAAATGAAAAGAAAAATCAGATAATGGATCCTATTTTTATGGAATATAACTACTCATTATCTTCTTTAATTCTAAACTAAATTTAAATTTTTTTAAAAAAAAGCCTCTCATAGGCACGGAAGCGCATGCAAAGAGGCTAGTATATATAAAGTAAAAGGCATAGAATGGTGAACCATTCAAATTACTAGAAAATGCACTTACTTAATGCAAATATTAAGAATTAAAATTATTAATTAAATTAGGGTAATATGGTAAATTCATACTTTTTTAAATTTAAAAAAAATTTAAAAAAAGACAAGGGATCCAATTTTTATGGAACACAACTACCCATTATCTTTTTTAATTTTAAAATAAATTTTCTAAAAAATGCATCTTGCAGGCACTGAAGCTCGTGGAGAGACTAGTAATAATTAAAACGTAACTACTAAATAAAGTAATTAGAAAAGATAAATCATGATTATGCTATTTAAAGAGTATAGCCGCTTGGCTATACTTCAAAAGTATTCTATTTAAAGCGTATAGCCGCGCGGCTATACTGTTAAAATAGTCTATTTACAGAGTAAAGCCGACCGGCTATACCTGTAACATATTCTATTCTATTAGGTTAAAGCCGCGCGGCTATACTGTGAAAATATTCTGTTTGTATAGTAGAGCCGACCGGCTATACTATTAAACCCGACTCTACTCTTTAAATGGAATAGTATAGCCGTGCGGCTATGCTCGTAAAATATTCTTTTTAACTTTTTTTAAAAAAGTTTTTTTTTAGTAATTAAATAATATCTTAGCCTTATTTAAATACTTTCATTAGTAATTGTGTTTTTAATTATTATTTCTTTAGTGAATAATTAGTATTAAATATTTTAATAAAAATCCTGGAAATTTAGTTTTGGTACCCAAGTATTTTAGTATTCCAAAACTAGATTTTAGCCTTGAAACTTAAATCCAAGTCACAGCATGATTTGATAATATCAACTACTTATTTAAATACTTTCATTAGTAATTGTGTTTTAATTATTATTTCTCAATATTCACGTCCTTGGTTGCAGAGTGTCTCCTCCGAACTTTCGAGCATATAATGGTCCTCCATAGTTTTACAGTAGGGCTTGCAGTTGTAGATAGATAGAGAAAGGGGTGAACCAAAATTTGTTATTGGGTTAGGTCCTTTCAGCGACAACGATACTTTTTGGGTTGCTTCAGACAACAAATATATGAAATATGATATCGTTATCTATATATATAAAGCAAAAGGCAAAGAATGGTGAAACATTCCAAATACCAGAAAATTCTCTTGGTAAATAAGGATAATATGGTAAATTCACATTTTTTCATATTAAAAAAAATTAAATTTAAAAAAATATAAATAATGGATCATATTTTTATGGATCACAACTACCCATTATCTTTTTTAATTCTTAAATAAATTTAAAAATTTAAACACAAAAAAAGAAAAAGAAAAAAAAAGGCCTCTCATTTCTCTAACGTAATTTCACTAATGTTTTCATATGCTTTCTACTGGCAGGACGAATCTGATTTCATTCATAACATTGTTAGAAGAGATTTCAACACAAGTATTAAAAGTACCTATTTGACTGTAGCAAAGTACAATATATGACTGTGCTTTTAGGCCGCATGCATGGTAGACAACAATTGCTAAAGATGTTTATAATATAATTGCCTATAAATTTGAAGGGAGCTGTGTTTTTTTTGGCAAATGTGTTAGAGAAAATTCAACAACACGTATGTCTCTCTCTCTCTTATGAGGAACAGGAAGATGAACTACTTCCTGAGAGAATTGAAAAGAAAAGAAGATTGTAGGGGCAAGATTAACCATGTTTGTAGATTTTTAAATAAAAAAAAAGAAAAAAGAAAAAACTACTTCTTCATGTACTGTTGAATTGAATGCCACCAATATGTTGAGGCTGAGGATGCTTTTGGGTTTAGGGGGATTGTCCTTGTTTAGTCTTTCTTGTTTTAAAACCTCTGCCAATTACTTGCTCTTTTTTTTGTCCTTTTTTTTTCGTGAATTTGAAGTGGAATTAAAGATTGGGGAAATACTAGAGTGATATTTTGGTTTGGATGGCAAAAAATTGGTGGAAAATTTTGAGGGTTTGGTGCATGAATGTGGGGAAAACATAAAGCAAAAGGCAGAAATGCCTTGACATGTGCAAGTGACGTGCCTCTTTGTATACCAAATTAACATAATTTTGGGATTTATCTTTGAATTGCTACACGCAATTTAGAAAGGTAAAATTGCAAAAATCAAATATATAACAACCAAAAACAAAAACTAGGCAAACTACATGGAGAAAGAGTGAAATTTGACCTTATTTAAAAAAAGAGAAACTACCTAGAAGGAACTCCACTTAAATCTTTATATACGTAAGGCTTTGAACAAATTATTATATGTAATATTGACTGTATCATATACAAAAGGACATTGATTAGAGGACAGGTGGTGTCTTTCATAATATTAAAGTTTTTATTGAGTTTTTTCAAAAAAAGCTTACTATTATATGTGTATTTGACTTGCAAAGTAAACAATAACACCTCCAAAAAGTATTTTAAAAGTATGAATAATTGTAAATGACTAAATTTTTTATTTGGTCAGAAAACTGTATATGACAAGAGACGTACTGAGTTCATTGGAAAAAACAAGGTACCTAGCTAGAAATAAAATAAAATGAAATGAAAACGCGGTAACAGTCTCACCCAATCGACCCCATCGATCATAACCATCCCATCTAACTCATTGACTTTTTGTTCACATTACTCAACATCTTGAGACTTGAATCTTGATATCATGCTTTCACAGAAGAACTCCTTACTTCTTTGATCAGTTGAAACTCTTCATTCTTATAAATTACAATCTTGATTGCTTCCTTTTGGACAAGAGAAAACATGGTAGCAGTAGCAGAGGTCTTTCTTGGGGCACTCCTTCGGTTTCTGCTGGACAGGTTATTGACTCCACTCAACTTCCTCGCGGACGGTGTTGGCAAAAAACTGAAGAAATGGAGTGAAATGTTGTCTTTTTTAAATAAAAAAAAAGAAAAAAGAAAAAACTACTTCTTCATGTACTGTTGAATTGAATGCCACCAATATGTTGAGGCTGAGGATGCTTTTGGGTTTAGGGGGATTGTCCTTGTTTAGTCTTTCTTGTTTTAAAACCTCTGCCAATTACTTGCTCTTTTTTTTGTCCTTTTTTTTTCGTGAATTTGAAGTGGAATTAAAGATTGGGGAAATACTAGAGTGATATTTTGGTTTGGATGGCAAAAAATTGGTGGAAAATTTTGAGGGTTTGGTGCATGAATGTGGGGAAAACATAAAGCAAAAGGCAGAAATGCCTTGACATGTGCAAGTGACGTGCCTCTTTGTATACCAAATTAACATAATTTTGGGATTTATCTTTGAATTGCTACACGCAATTTAGAAAGGTAAAATTGCAAAAATCAAATATATAACAACCAAAAACAAAAACTAGGCAAACTACATGGAGAAAGAGTGAAATTTGACCTTATTTAAAAAAAGAGAAACTACCTAGAAGGAACTCCACTTAAATCTTTATATACGTAAGGCTTTGAACAAATTATTATATGTAATATTGACTGTATCATATACAAAAGGAC